CCGGTTGAGTCTCCATCTGGTCAAGTCCCAAGGCCTGAAGCCTCTGCACCAACTGCTCCCTCTGCTCCTGGACGCGTCCGCTCAGGACGCCGGGACTCCCCCGTTCCCTGTGGCCTCCCTGTCTCCTGAACCGGAGTTAGTTCTGCAGCCCGCAAGGCCACACCTTTTCTTTCCTCTCTCGAGACCCACCTTCCCGGCCCTCTTTCAAGGCCCAGTTTGTGGTCTGTCTCCTCCAGAAAGCACAAGACCAGGGAGAGCCAGGAAACAGCCAGAGAACCTCAAAACTGGCCTAGAACCCAGTTCTCCAAACGCCCACGAGGTCCCCGAGGACGGAGGTGGTCTGATTCATCCAGGAGGTGAAATCTGACCAGGCCACCAAGAAGTGGGGAGATCTGACCAAGGGGGCGGTAAGGACACTGAAGGAACGCGGGATGGGGTGAGCGAAGGAAGGCTCCGCACGGCGGGGAGGCAGCTGCGCACGCAGCCTGAGGTCTACGCGGGCACGCGGGGCTTCTCTGAGATCTCTGTCTTCATAGGAGCTGGGGAAGAACAACCAAATCACTATCCTCGGCCCCCAATTCCCATCCCCGAGGCACAGAAGGGATGTGGGCGGTTCCCAAGCACGTTTCTTGTCTGTCAAGCTCCCCAGTTCTGTGCTCGCTTCCAGGTGTAACTGGGCCACTTAGTAAGACCGCTGCACACCTACAGACTGGTCATCAGATGACTTGGTTTATATTCTGAGCCCCGGCAAAGCCTTGCGATGAAGTCAGAGTCGGACACAATCCCAGGTTACAGACGAAGAAATGGGAGCCGGAGGAGAATCACTTTGGATGGATTCCAAGACACTCTGCACATGGAACCCAAAGGCTCTCAGATGACAACCAAACGAACTTCAGGATTTTGTCACCTGTGTTAACTCTCAGGGCTTTTTATTCTGTTTAGACTCTGGATTAGTGGTTATCAGTCTTCTCCTGTAAAGGGCCAGATGGGATATCTTTTAGGCTTTGAAGGTGGCGGGTCCACATCAACTCTGCCTTATAACAAACACAACCACAGCCACTGAACCAATGGATGGGCAAGGCGTGTGCCAATAAAACTTTATTTGCAGAAACAGGCTGTCGGGCTGAAACTGGCCTGTGGACCGCAGTTTGCCAACCTCCCTCTAAGACCCCAGCTGTGTTACAGATTACTGAGGCTGTCACGTAAGGCAGGCAGATGTTTCTGGGGGACCCTGGAGCCGGAAAGCACTTGATAGCTCTAGTCACCCCCCTCTCTGCATTCTGCCCCTGCCCCAAGACTGTGAGAACCTGATGCAGACTCAGCCAGTGGCCCGCTTCCCAGGAACTTTCCAAGCAGTCGCCAACAAAACTCTTTATCTCCCCAATAATCATTTCTTATAAAAATACTCTCAAACAACAAAAAATAAAAATAGGCTGGCCTCACAGCACGCACAGGTCTTGCTACCTGATGGCCTCAGATAGGAAACCACAGATCGAAGAATTCCTGGTCTCCCCCTTATTGTGTGGGTGCCTATTTTTATCCTGAGGGAGGAAGCACTGTGCGGGGAGGGGCGGCCAGAGAGCAGGGGGGGGTCTCCAAGGTGAGCCCTCCCCCTCAAGAGTGAGCAGGGCTTGGGGGAGGCCACTGGAAACCTTTCCGATCAAAACAAAAGTAAAAACATCTCTTCCTCTGTCAAAGGTGTCAGTGGGGCTCCTCTCTCCCTCTCCCCACCCCCTCCTCCTTTCTTTCCATTTTTAGTGCCTACAGCAGTAGAGGGAAAAAAAAAGAAAAGATATCCATTTTCTTGTTCTTGCTTATTAAGGAAATGACATTCACCCCTAACTCGCGGTACGTGACTACAGTCGCCTAGAATTAGAAAACGGTTTTCCATCACCTCTTCCTCCCCGTCACTTCTTACAAAGGGGCGCCGGGCTGCCTGAATTCCGATCCCACTCCCCCATTTGCAAGCCATGTGCTTTGGGGCAGGGAGCTGATCAGTTTTCGTGTCTGCAAGATGATGATAACGCAGGGACTCCACTGCAAGGAGGGGCTATGAGAATTCAGAGCTGATGCATGCAGACATGGAGCTCAGAAGGGGTGAGGTTCATGTGCGCCCCTATGAAGGACTCTGGGAGTGCTGGGGGGGAGTCCCCCTGGGGCAGGAGCAAGTCAGGGCTCATTTAGTCATTCACCTGATATCTAATGAGCACCTACTTGTGCGAGCCCACATAGAATGGAACATTCCAGTGGGAGAACGCAGGCGGACCACAGAAATAAAGCAAGTGCGCCAAGGGCACTGTGAAGAAAAATGAACTCGGGGCAGGGGGATGGCCGAGATGGAATGGAGTGTTCAAAAAGCTTTACTGAGAAGGGGACATCTGACCAGAGATAACATCAAGGGTAAGAGGAGATGAGTAACAGCCCAGCCTCCACAGGGATATGTGAGGAAAAGTAAAATAAGAAAAAGAAAGCACCGTCACAAGGTGTAACTGGGCTACTTAGTAAGACCGCTGCACACCTACAGACTGGTCATCAGATGACTTGGTTTATATTCTGAGCCCCGGCAAAGCCTTGCGATGAAGTCAGAGTCGGACACAATCCCAGGTTACAGATGAAGAAATGGGAGCCGGAGGAGAATCACTTTGGATGGATTCCAAGACACTCTGAACATGGAACCCAAAGGCTCTCAGATGACAACCAAACGAACTTCAGGATTTTGTCACCTGTGTTAACTCTCAGGGCTCTTTATTCTGTTTAGACTCTAGATTAGTGGTTATCAGTCTTCTCCTGTAAAGGGCCAGATGGGATATCTTTTAGGCTTTGAAGGTGGTGGGTCCACATCAACTTTGCCTTATAACAAACACAACCACAGCCACTGAGCCAATGGATGGGCAAGGTGTGTGCCAATAAAACTTTATTTGCAGAAACAGGCTGTCGGGCTGAAACTGGCCTGTGGACCGCAGTTTGCCAACCTCCCTCTAAGACCCCAGCTGTGTTACAGATTACTGAGGCTGTCACGTAAGGCAGGCAGATGTTTCTGGGGGACCCTGGAGCCGGAAAGCACTTGATAGCTCTAGTCACCCCCCTCTCTGCATTCTGCCCCTGCCCCAAGACTGTGAGAACCTGATGCAGACTCAGCCAGTGGCCCGCTTCCCAGGAACTTTCCAAGCAGTCGCCAACAAAACTCTTTATCTCCCCAATAATCATTTCTTATAAAAATACTCTCAAACAACAAAAAATAAAAATAGGCTGGCCTCACAGCACGCACAGGTCTTGCTACCTGATGGCCTCAGATAGGAAACCACAGATCGAAGAATTCCTGGTCTCCCCCTTATTGTGTGGGTGCCTATTTTTATCCTGAGGGAGGAAGCACTGTGCGGGGAGGGGCGGCCAGAGAGCAGGGGGGGGTCTCCAAGGTGAGCCCTCCCCCTCAAGAGTGAGCAGGGCTTGGGGGAGGCCACTGGAAACCTTTCCGATCAAAACAAAAGTAAAAACATCTCTTCCTCTGTCAAAGGTGTCAGTGGGGCTCCTCTCTCCCTCTCCCCACCCCCTCCTCCTTTCTTTCCATTTTTAGTGCCTACAGCAGTAGAGGGAAAAAAAAAGAAAAGATATCCATTTTCTTGTTCTTGCTTATTAAGGAAATGACATTCACCCCTAACTCGCGGTACGTGACTACAGTCGCCTAGAATTAGAAAACGGTTTTCCATCACCTCTTCCTCCCCGTCACTTCTTACAAAGGGGCGCCGGGCTGCCTGAATTCCGATCCCACTCCCCCATTTGCAAGCCATGTGCTTTGGGGCAGGGAGCTGATCAGTTTTCGTGTCTGCAAGATGATGATAACGCAGGGACTCCACTGCAAGGAGGGGCTATGAGAATTCAGAGCTGATGCATGCAGACATGGAGCTCAGAAGGGGTGAGGTTCATGTGCGCCCCTATGAAGGACTCTGGGAGTGCTGGGGGGGAGTCCCCCTGGGGCAGGAGCAAGTCAGGGCTCATTTAGTCATTCACCTGATATCTAATGAGCACCTACTTGTGCGAGCCCACATAGAATGGAACATTCCAGTGGGAGAACGCAGGCGGACCACAGAAATAAAGCAAGTGCGCCAAGGGCACTGTGAAGAAAAATGAACTCGGGGCAGGGGGATGGCCGAGATGGAATGGAGTGTTCAAAAAGCTTTACTGAGAAGGGGACATCTGACCAGAGATAACATCAAGGGTAAGAGGAGATGAGTAACAGCCCAGCCTCCACAGGGATATGTGAGGAAAAGTAAAATAAGAAAAAGAAAGCACCGTCACAATTCCTGGAGTCTGGAAGGCACTCGGCCAGCGTTTGCACTGCGACGCAGTCCTTGCTAGACGCGCAGAACAGGGACAGCAGGAGGATTACACGTCCTGGTTCACCGTAAGGAGCGGCCCCACATTTAAACTCAGTCCATCACCACTAAGACAACGCCTCGTCCGCAGAAAAGGGCCCAGTCGATCCTGGCGGACCCGGTGAAGGAAGTCAGACTGGGACTTCACCCGGGAAGTCACACTAGGAGTGAAGTCACCCGTGGGACGTGAGAAGAGACGTGAAGCAGGACTTGGGGAAGAGGACAGGCATGAGGCTGTGAAGGGGGACTTCGTTTTCACGTGCCTTTGCTCCTTGGCATCTCAGGGCATTTTAATAATGATCCTTATGCCCGTGACTTAGCACATCCTAGACGTTTCCAGAAGACTTGGTCGCAGAACTGGCATTGCTCGCGGGAATGATAAAGTCACTCCTTCCTATCTGGAGGGCTGGGAACTGGACAGCTTCAGTCCACTGTGGGGCAGCCCATGGTCCACTAACCGAGTCCGCACTGCAACAGCGCCACCTGCTGGAAGAACCAGGCTGCTCCCGTGTCTGCCATCCCCTTTACTCTTGCAAGCACTCAGAGGAGGCCGGGAAGTCTGATCATCATTCTGGAGGGAGGTGATTTTCATTCTGAAAGCTCATATCTCTCAGATTTTTGGCAGGGGGTGGTGGTGTTCTCACCCTGACCTATTCAGGGCCAAGCAGGTAAATGGAGTGTTTAACCCCAATTCTCATGGTCCCCTTCTCCTGCCCTCTCTCTGGGTCCAATGTGAAGAGAGTACTTGGGCACATCCATGAGGCCAGGAATCCCACTTGACTTAGCCATGTTCCCGGCCCACTGTGTGCACCACGCTGACCTCACAATAGCAGGCCTACACATAAGTACTTTAAACTAGGTCAGTCACCAGAGGATCAGAGCAATGGACCTGACCAGGTCAGGGTGAGCTCGAAATTAATTACAAACAGTCACAGAATTTAGTTTCAAAATTTCCTAACAGGAAAGCAAAAAGGGAAATAAGCTGGGCTATGCAGTTCCTACTGACAGACAAAAGGCAGCAGATGTAACATTTGTCTGATAGAGAAGTCAAAGAAAAAATGATCAAAATGTGTCCTTTGAGAAAGCCTTGGGCAAGACACCAGGTAATTCAACCACAACCTCTTTCCACTGGGGTTTTGTGTAAGATGCAGAAGCATCCAGGGCCATGTGTGCGGAAGAGAGGCAGTATTTCTGCGGGGCCCCAAGGAGACGTTGAGGAGAAACTGTTAAGTTACCACATCTCAGGGGGAAGGAGCTGGGGGTGGTGTCTAAGCTGAGGTCTTGGGCCAGAGGTGAGGCAGGGGAGTGAGAGCGGAGGCCAGAACCCATTCAGGTTGGATGCCCCTGCCTTCACACTGAACTCAGTCAAGTTTATGGGGCTCCATCAATCCACTCTGGTATTCTTGCCTGGAGAATTCCACGGACAGAGGAGCCTGGCGGGCTACAGTCCATGAGGTCACAAACAGCTGGACACAGCTGAGCACTTTCAGCCCACTTAGGACCTGTTCATCCAAGGGCAGAAGTCAGCCCTCTGTGACCCCCCACCCCCGCAGAAGCGGGTGCCTGTAGGCACAGATGAAGCTGTCTGGTGTGAGGAAGACCACCAGTACCCCTCGCTTCGTGGGTGAGCAGCCTCCTTGTCTGTGCAGCTGATAGACGGGTGTGCCCTCCTGGGGCTGCCACGTGTTCCCGAGGGGTGGGGATGGGGGTCCCTGGAGGAACGTCAGGCCTGTGCCCAACAAGGGGCACTCTGACCAAACAGGTGTTCTCCTCACCCGTGTGGCTGCCTCATTCACGACCTCATCCTCCCCCTTGTTCCGGGGAGGAGGTCTGAGCCTGGCGGGCCTGGGTCCTTCGGGGGACAGCGCTGAGTGCCACGTTTGCATCACCAACAAGGCAACAAGGCTGGGGACGAGGGACTTCTCGCCGCAAACGTGCCGGCGGGGCCTCCGGGGCGGCGCGCTGGTGCCCTCTAGTGGGAGCGGATGGCAGTGCGGCCATCTGGGCCTCTCTCCGGCCACACCTGACTCTGGGGCTGCATCTGGAGCAGCTGGGCAAATGATGAGGGCTGGAACGCCCCCATCACTGCTGACACGGCGGGCTGGCCAACCCCCTTGGCATCAACAGAGATGCCAAAAATGCAGGCAGGACCGCCTCCCCCCCCCCACCCCAGGACTCCATTCTAAGCCCCGGCTTCCGCCCTGCCCTGTGGCTACACCGTCTGGAGCCAGGAAGGATGTCCCCTAGAATCCAGGTCGCCACGCTGAGAGCCTCCAGCTACCCCCCACCCCCATCCTGAATCTGAGCTCTCAGAGGAAAACCTAGCCTCAGCTCAGCTCACCTGAGGCAGCTGAGTTTGGGGATGCCAAAATCTGGCTGCTGGCTGGCACCCAGCCCAGCTCACTTGCTCTTCCCCTTCGACTATCACTACAGGGAGGCAAACCTTGGGGACAACCAACATCACCTTTACAAAAAGCACCAGCCTTTACTAACCAACTAAAAATGCCTCTTAAGAGTGGAGAGCTGTGCCTGGCAGACGTGGGTACTGGGACCTACTGTCTCATCTGCTGCCCCAGGTTCTTGTGTGGCTCCAGGGACCTGAGTCCCAGCAGTGGGGGTTCCTGGACTCCCTTCCACTGTTGCAACAGCAGCCGGGTGGGCCATCTGAGGACCAGCCCACACAGTCCGTGGCTTTGGCTGGAGCGGGGAGCGGACAGGCACCCAGGTCTCAGTAGCTGAGCTCTGACCGAGGCACCCCCGCCGAGGACTACTAGCTATGACGTGTGCCACGTGGGACTCCAGTGAACGAGACAAGCTGGAGCTCCCGGAAACCTACCACAGCCATGAGGATGGGGGCCACAGGGGCCCTCAGCTCCTGACTCAGCCGTGCTTCCGGGTCCCAGGCGGCAGAGACCGCACAGCCCTGGGGAGGCAGGCGGGGGAGTATGCGGGGAGGGGACCACGCTTCCCTCTGCAGGGTCTCTGACCTGGGCATGGCGCCAGCGTTCACTCAGACACTGACAGCTCCGGCTCTGCACCATTATCATCAGAGCACCATCTCGTCTCTCTTCTAGACTGGGCCCCTCCTGGGCAACTCTATCTAATGCAATTCTCTCTTTCTCTAAAAGGCTGGTGCAAAGCGCTTGTCCATGAAGATGAGTTAGGCAAGCAAGCAAAGGAGAGAGGAAATTGGGGCAGAAGCAGGCTGTTCGCCCCTCTGCCTCCTGCTTCCCAGCTCCGCCAGCCCCTTCGCTGCTGGGTGGGGTCACGTGTCTAGTTCTGCCCAATGGGCTGTGAGTACAAGTGACACGTCACACCCAGAGCACGACTCTTCAGCTCTCCCCTTGTCTCTGCCAGGGTGACCTGGGTGCTGGGTGCTGAGACGGTAGGGCCACAGAATGGGATCCAACTGGAACTCTGGGCCCCCACTTGGGGAAGGAGCTATCCTATAGAGCAGCCGGACCCTCTGCAGAATCTCAATAAGTGAGAAATAAGATCCTGTGTGTGAAACCTCTCAGATTTGGGCATCTGTTTAATATCATGCTATGGCCTATAGTATTTGAACACAGCAGATGATTGAAAACTCCTGTTTCGTGACGAATAAATAAATAAATAAAAAGACACATGCCCTGGATATCATACCAACAAGAGCATAACCAGGTTTGTGTCAAAGTTCTGCTGGGAAATGATGGTAGAAACTCACAGGCCGAGGGGATGGACTGAACATAAAGACAAACATCTGCCCCCTCTTTTGGGTGGGAGAAGTGGTGGGCAAGTGGGCAGCGAGCTTCAGGGCAGACTGCTCCCTCCATCTACCTGTTTTTGTTCCCTCCTGTCTCCAGATGGGGAGAGAGGGCAATAGGTCTCTTTCTGTTAATACTCCCCAAACCCTGGCTTTTGTGTGAGTCTCCAGGAAACCCACTCATCTCTGCTCAGGCCCTTGAGTGCTGTGGGTGGGCTGGGAGCCCCAGGCCTATGGGTGGGCCTTCCCCTCCATTCAGCGATCTTCAGTTAGGTGCCTCTGAGATGTATTTGGAAGTGGGAGGTGTTTTTCGGGGGAGGTCACCATGACTGCTGTCTCCCCAATGACCGGCATTCAGTGGTTGAAACCCTAGATGCCTGCACATACTAAACAGGTGCATATAATTAAGATCTGTTCTATCCCAAATGCCAGGCTAGATGACTGGGAGGCCCCAAGGCCAAACAATGGGACCAGCCGGCCTTGTCTATGAGGGGGCTTTGAAGACCACTAGGAAAGTTCAGAAAATAATCACCCATATATGTCCCCATGGGACCTCAGATTCTGCCACCAGGGATGTATGTTTGGGGATCAGGAAGCCTGATGGACTTGTCCTAATGGGACCGTATGAAATGCAAACACCCCAAAGAGAGGTCAGGCCATGAGCACGATCAGTTACAGCTTTTCAACTCCTGTGGATAATTTTGAGAAAACTGTAGATTTTCTGTGATGCTTTAACAAACACAAATTCCTGGGTACAATTCAGTGGGTGTGGTCACAGGCCCCCAGGATGGCCCCCAAGGCCTTCCCCTTCTGATATTCACACCACTATATAGTATTTTCCATGTCGTACCAGGGTTGGTCTGTACAATCAATATACAGCATGTGGCGGGGTGACTATGTCACTTCTGAGAATAGATTAGAAAAGAGTAGGTCTACCGTGTCGGACACTCTCCACTCTCTCACCCATGATATTTCTATGTCTGTCTGTCTGTCTCCCTCCCTCTCTTCCTTCCTCCTTCCTTCTCCCTCAGATCTCTTGCTTTGGAGGAGCCATGCTGTGACGTTCAAGCAGCTTAGGGAGAGGCTCATGAGAATGAAGTCTTCCGCCAGCAGCCAGGGCAGAACCGAGCCTCCTGCCCTCTGCCGTGGGGGGAGCCACCACATAAGTGGGTCCGCCAGCCCCAGCCCAGCCTTCAGGTGACTGCAGCCCCAAGTGACAGCTGGGTCACAGCTCTGTGAGAAGCCCTGATCCAGAGCCACTCGGCTAAAACACCCTCAGATTCCTGACTCTCAAAAACTGTGTGATAATAAATGCTCATTGTTTTCAGGTTGCTAAATTTTGAGCCGTTTATCCCACCAAAAAAAAGATACCCCACATCCAAGGGCAAAGGAGAAGCCCCACAAGATGGTAGGAGGGGCAAAATCGC